AATAGAGGGGTGGTAGAGGTAAACTAAGGCGCTACATCCGGGGATTGTATTTGTATTATCTGGCAGGTTAAAAGTCCTTTAGCATCTGGCCAATGGGGGCTGGAGGAGAGGATTGGGGAAGTATAAAAACTGTAACCAAACTGTGTTTGGGGCCCTAGCTGCCTTACAGGCTGGAGTCCTTTGGTTCTGGTACTGTAATAAAAGCAAACTTTTCTGCACCTCGTGTTTGGATGTCTTTTGGCTTCGACACCAAGCTCAGTGGAGGAGAGGATTGGGGAAGTATAAAAACTGTAACCAAACTGTGTTTGGGGCCCTAGCTGCCTTACAGGCTGGAGTCCTTTGGTTCTGGTACTGTAATAAAAGCAAACTTTTCTGCACCTCGTGTTTGGATGTCTTTTGGCTTCGACACCAAGCTCAGACATGTTTTGTGGCCCAACAACGTGACTAGATTAGTGGACCAGGGAATGCTGTAGATGCAGTGTAATTAGACTTTAGCAAGGCATTTGGTAAAATAGGGCACAACTTCCTTCTTGATGAAGTGGAATAAGATGGGACGGATGGTCCCACTACCAGATGCATTTGCAGTTGGATGAACAGTCAGAGCCAATGAGTGGTCCTTAGTGGGTCTGTGGCTGCCTGGATGAAGAGTTTGGTCCTGGGCCCAGGGCTTTTCAACATCTTCATAATGAGGCATAGGAAGCATATGGAATCTCCATCTGCTCAAACCGGTTTTTACGCAACACACAATAAAGACAGGTAGAGCTTCAACCACACCCTACTGACCACCATCTTGGTTTTCTGAACACACCCTGCAGGCATCCTTGAAGCGAATGTTATCCCAATTAAAGGGTTTGAGCAGATGCCTACTAGCCATGCCTGAGGAGGTCCAGTAACGATCAAGCTGGTTGCATCTGTCTCCTCGTTGCTGGCTAATTTAGAATTTGCAGGTTGGATATCAAAGAGGAGAAGACGCCAGGATAATTACAATTAATAATAAGAGTGAAGGGATCAATATCTAAAGTGGCAATGAAGCAATATCTAAATTGGCAATGTTAACTTCATAGCTTTAGAGCAGTGTTTCTCAACCTCGGGAAATTTAAAAAGGGGGGGCGTTCACACCCCCGCTCTCCCCCCACAGAACCTTTGCGGGGCGTGTACTCAATGGCTTAATGAAACACACCTCCAGA